TAGTTTTTCTACCCTTCACTCTATGCCATTTCATTGCTGCTTATTTTGTGCTGAAGGAGGAAATGAAGTGGGGGGAATGGCAGGTTTTAGCTTATACAGAGTCTGTGTTCTGACATACATATGTTGACTAATACCTTACTTCTCACTGAAATGAATGAGATATGATACTTGCAGAATAATTTCTGAACGGTATTGAGGATGGGTAAGTGTGGCACCTGTCTCTTAGAGCTGGCACACCCTGGAAATCAAAACTATATTTAACACTGTGTTGGACAGAAACCAAAGATTATGCATACCAGCATTATGATGAGTCACTTTCCTACTTCAATTGAGTATGGTAGAGAATATGGTAATTAGACAGCTAAATCCATATTTAAGTATTAAAACCTGATGTTTACAGGTGCTGATCACCTGTAGTTACCATAGATTTTGTTGGGAACTGCCACTGGTCACCATCTCTGAAAATCAGGTCACTTACTGTACTTAGATCTATAGTCATCCATATTTTCATTTTTTGGATTTAGCATTTATACAACGTTGTGCATCTTCAAAACAGGTCACAAATTTTATTTTTCATCACACTTCAGTAAAGTTGGTTAAGGGTCCATACTACTGGCAAATATATTAGTATTTTAGCTTCTATATAGTTGTTACTATAAAAGTGAACAGCACATAAGACTAATATTGTAAGACGTGCTCTTAACTATATACACTGCCATTTAAAATAATAAAGGTAAACTGGAAAATATCTTTGAATTTCTTGTTTGTAACTGGTTTCATTTTAATGCTTTTTCCTTATCTCATTCAAACAAAGTGTTGTTATACATAGATTTTTCATTTCAGCTAATGTCTCACAACAAAATGCTGACACTTCACTTTTGATTTCTATTCCCTGTAACAGTGTGACATACCAGAATGTAAAATAGTTTTGAAATGTTGAATTAATATGTAAAAATAAAAATGAAGATTACCAGGAGAAAACTGAATTTTGATTTTGAATTTTCTCCTTCTTAAAATGAAGACCAACTTATGATACAGGGTTCACATGGTCTGTCTTTCCCTGTATTCATTTTACACAAAGTTTAGATAGCATATTTGCACAATCTCAGGATGACATTTCGGTAAATCGATTGCCTAAATACATTTTCCATCAATAAAGCAAAATATACCTATCTTTCAGTAGGATGACTGATTTTGTTAACCTCTGAAAATTGCTTGGACAAATAATTACTTTGAAGTACTATATATAAAGACAACTGTGCTATACCTAAACATACTATTTTATTAAAAACCTGTAGCTGAAGATAGTTTCCTGTTCATTTATAACTAAGACAGCTATGCAAATATAACAATAAACTTCCATGCTGAGGCAGTTATGAAAAAAATTATATTTTCGCTGAAGTGACAGCATTTTAAGGTTCGTCCTGTCATGGTGTTTTGTTTTGTTTTTTTACAAATACTAAATAAAACATGGCAATTTGATGCAGCCAGGGCTCATTCAGATCAGATGACATGATAAATCCACTAATTATGGGCTCCCTGAAGATTTGATGGGGAATGGGCATATACATCTACCTGCCTCCTTCACTAACCACTTCACTAACCACGCTCTCTACAAAGCCTGAGAAAAGAAGGCATCATGTTCCTTGTGCCCTAGTATAAGTTTTTGGGGTATTGTTTACCAGTTCTGCTTGTGAAAGTGCAATCTGAAATAAAGAGGCTAGGGAAATAATGCCTTTGAAAGAACTAGTACTATTGGGCTTTACTGAGTCCTCTTTATTCAGACAAAACCATTAGCAGCTCAGTAAAAAGTGGTGAACCATGGTGCCCAAGACAGGAAAATCTCTCAAGATGGCCAGTATTCCAAGCTAAAAATATTGCCTTTGCTCTGTTCCAGCACAAACTCAAATAATTTCTTAGTAATATTTCATGGCAGCATATTATATGGAAATTCTGAGACACTCCAACATTGAAATCATAATTTGTTTTTAAGAAACAAGAATACATATAATGCAGGAGAGGTGACATAAATTCATGTTAATGTATTTTCATATGCAACTCTTCTTTCTCAATACATGTTTACAGTGAGAATTTCCCGTGTTGTAATTTAACCAAGTGTAGTAATATAGTTTATTTTCAAATACATGGACACATCTCCACACACTGGTCACAAGACACATTACACAGTGATTCTTAATATTTAAAGCTTGCTTCACGGTGTGAATCTTTAACATCCATGTGGTCTCATATCATGTACTGAAGCAAAAGCATTAAAGACAGCATAAATTGAAAAGGGGAAAGAAAGAGAAGATATGATGATAGACAGAAACCGCTGCTTCATTTAATTGAATACTGTTAGTTTTCTATCTTAAGATGTGGAGAAAGGTGAATCAGTCATATCTTTCTTTCAATGAGACATCTATGTTATTGTTACCCTGAAAGTGCTAAATCATCATCCTGGCTTGAATTGGATTTGTAGTCATCTCACTTTACTTTTTACATGTGAACTTCATCAGAACAATCCACACAACTTGCTTCCTGTGTATCCATTTAAAAAATGTGTTAACAGAATATCACGTGAGCCATAGCAATGTGCTGGTTGGGTTGCATGCAGCCCACAGGCCACAGGTTGAGAACCACTGGCCTAGAGCCTGGTCCTGTTGACTTCTTGAGTCACTGAGCCCATGAAGCCTGGAGCTCTTGCAAGCTGCTAAGAAAGAAGGTTTGCATTAGAGATGCTCCCTCTTTCCATGCTCTTCAAATACTGTTTAGTTCTCATCTTCCCATGGAAAAGAGTGTCAGTTCCATGGAGTTTGGCGAGCAAATCACACAAAACTCAGGCATGTTTGTGTTTAGTAATTCAACATACCACTTGTACTTACTGTTGCTCTTACTGAAAATACATTTGATACATATGCTTAGTATACCAGATGATATTTTAGCACACCCAGACTATGTTTACAAGCTTAGAACTATGCAAGTAACTCAAGGCCAGATTGTTACCTAAATTAAGAGAAAAAAGCATCCATTTCTCCTTGTAGAATTTTCTGAGTAATCCCATTAACAGAGTAGGATTCCTCACTTTTGGAAGTGGCTATAGATTAAGTTCCCTACACCCCTGGGCACTCCCAGATTCTTAGCAATCCAGTGAAATCTGTATCTTACACCCTGCCTCGACTGTACCATAACCTATGGATGCCCTCAGAAGAGTTCACTGTGTAGTGGCTCAGGATAATACAAGTTAACAAGAACTGATGTTCTGTGGAGACTTTTTATTGACTCCCATGGACTGTGGACATTTCCATGGATTGTGTAAAAGGGAAGAATATATAAAGCTGAGTTTCCTCCTCGCTTCTGCATCTCAACATAGGTGAAATAAAGGTGAGACTTTCAATTTATAAAAAATAGTGGTGCAGTAGTAGAGAATTTGTATTAAGCTTAATTTATGATTGATCAGCTGGAAATGTGATATAATTTACACTGATGACAGCAGCAGTTACATCCATGGCAGGTATTTGTATCTCTCTATAGTCAGCTTGTGTAATGACAAAATAAAGACTATGTACGTGGAATAAGTTTAATGCGTTGACAGGTGCATTGTGACAAACTGCACGCACCTACAGAATTCTGATAATTTCTGAGCACTTATTCTTCATCAGCACTGATGACTTCCAAAAGCACTAGGTGGGGCCATAACAAGTCTTTTTCTGATATAACTGTTCACAGGAACTGCATGGTTCTGCCAACACACATTTCTGTTATCTCCTGAAAACAGGACATCTCCTCAGTTCCCACCTGGGCTGCTGCTTTATGTTCTCTGAAGTGGACCAAACTAGGCACAATATCTTACTTTATTTACCAAATGCTCACTAGGCAAAACAGTGAATAAACTTATTTAAACAAGTGTTTATTAACATTGACAAAAAAACAAACAAAGCAAGATGCAGGAAAACACGGTAAACAGAAAATGGGCCAACATCCAGCTAATTTCCACCTCAGAGCAGAACGAAACCTCTTCATTTTATTCAGTGCTTAGCGGGGAAGATATTTGTTTTCTGTGCCAGGAGCCTTCTGCCAGCGATCAGAGACGCTCTTCTGCCACAGGCCTGCCTCGCTCTGGGATACGGCACGACCAAATGGCAATGCTGGCCCGCACCGAGACTCCTGGCTGCCTCGGGCCAACTTCTGAGTACGGGGCCCTTCCCAGGGATAATGATTTTTTGTTGAAAGAGTCTTTATCACATCTGTGGTATCAATGTCTTTAAATAGTTCGTTCTCAATTGATAACATTGCCAGTCCCGTACATGTGCAATATCCAAACTTTTTTTTTTTTTTTTTTGCAATTGTCATTTCCCACCCCCATTTTCGGGCCCTCTTTCTGTCCGCGCCCCGGGCGGCCGGCCGCTTCGGCCGTGCCCGTGTCTGCCAAAAGGTCACTTCAGCGGCAAAGAGTATTTCTGGTTTCACCATTTTCATCCAGTGGGACCAGGCGCTACAAACCAATGCCTCGAAAATGTCCTAGCTGGAACAGCTTGGGGAGGGCGGCCGCGGCATGGCCTTAGGAGCTGCACAAGCTGCGGCCGTACGTGGATCTGTCTGCCAAGACAGCAAGGACTTTTTTTGACCAAAAGTAAAAAACGCCGCGACTCGGGGCTTTCTGCTCCAGCGGTGCCGAGCCGGGCGGAGCCAGTGCAGCTCCGCCCCGCAGGCCGGGGAGCTGCGTGCGCTTGCGCGGCCGGGCCTGTCACTTCTCGCCGCTCTCGCGCGCTGGGCCGGGCCCTAGTGTCGCTGCCGCGGCCGCCGCCCCGTCCCCGCC